GGGCTCAGCTATAGGGGCATCAACCTGACCCCATCCACTATAGAGGGGCTGCACCCACCTATAGGGGCCCTGCTCCCCGCTATAGGGGCTGTGGGACTTATCTATAGAGGCATCAAACCCCCTCCCTTCCACTATAGGTGCCCTGCTACCCACAACAGGGGCTGTGGGGCATTGTACCCCGCCCTGCCCACTACAGGGGCACTGCACTCACCTATAGGGCAGCAGGGCTCTGCTATAGGTGCATCACTCCACCCGATGCCATAGGGGCACTGCACTCTCCTATGGAGCATTACACACCCCTATAGACCCCGTGTTAGGGCCATCCGAGCGTTGCTCCAGGGGCCCCAACGCAGCTGCAGCCGTCACCCTGTACGGCCCTCGTCCTGTGTCACCCACCACCCAAACACCCGCCCCAGCGTGTCCCTAGCAGAGGGCTGAGCGCCCCTGGGCACCCAGTGCCCCGAGGGGAGCGTCCCCTGGGTGGCAGTTCACCCTTCCTCCCTTCTTGGGTCCCTTCAAGAACTCCAGGGCCTCCTGCAGCCCCGGGGAAGCTCCTGTGGCATCAGCAGAACCTGCAGCGATGCCACGTCCACACGGAGCTGTGGGCTGGACACAGGGGCCCGGTGTTCCGTACACCGGGGGACACAGTGGCAGCTGACAAGACTCCTCACGTACACCCGCAGAGCGCCCTTTGGGTGCCCCCCACCACAGGTGCCCTTGGGCCGTGAGCTCTCCCTGGACCCGGACCAAAGGCGGCTCTGGGGCGGCCGGCCGGGACACAAGGACAGCAGCTCCAGGGTCCAGGTCTCGCACGGAGAACGCGGCCCAGGCGGAGGGACGCGAGAGGCTTCGGCGAACGCCGCTCAGGAGACACAAGGCAGACCCTCGGGAACAACTTTTTATTGTAACAAACACGGGGACGTCAAGGGGCGAACGGTTCACTTCAGCTCCTTCACAGCCAGACCTAGAGAGGAGGAGGGAGCAGAAAACCCAAGTCACCGGTTGGGAACATGCAGCTCGTTGGGAACCCCGGCCCACCTGGCCACAGGGACACGGTCCTTCCCCTGGGGACATGAAGGGCCATTACTGGGACCAGCAGCGGCTCTCCCTGCCACCAGGACAGGCTGTAGAGCCTTGTGGCTTCCTGGGAACACCGACTATATCGGGACTGGAAAATCAGAGGGGTGGGAGTAGCATTTGCTTGGGCAAGTAACACGCTGGGGCGTCCGTTTCACACTGAGACCAGCAAAACCAGCAAATCAGAGGGGTGTGGACAGGCAGGCGACCCAGGAGGCAGGTGACATGCCCTGGGATGAGGCTGGGGACGCAGCAGCTCCACGGACACCCCAGCACCGACCTCCTCGCGGAGACGGATTCACCTCCCACCCCCTCCGCCCGACCCGGGGCTCCCGCAGCCGCCGATACCTGGGGGCAGCGACTGCTTGAGCTTCTCCGCCTTCTCCTTGTCCGTGATGACCAGGGTGTAGAGGTACCTGCTGCAGCGCACCTTGAACTTCACATTGTCCTTGTTCTTCTTGATCTTCACGGCTGCGGAATAAAGAACGGGTGAGCAGCGACCTTGGGCTCCCAAGTCACGTCTGGGCAGCTGGAAGGAACCTCTGTGCAGGGGGATGGCTACAGAGCTCCCCAATCCTTCCTCCTTTGAGGAAGAGGAGGATCAGAACACTGCCTTGCCCTTCTACACTATGGAAAACTGAAATTGAGAATTTTCTCGTGTCCCAGGGGCTCCTGCTGTGACCAAGCCCACAGCAGGAGCCAGGGGGTCCAGCCGTGCAGGACACTGCAGTTTTTAGAGCAAACGGCTGGATTTCCAAGGACTCTTCTCCTTCCTCGCCTAGACTTGGAGCCAGCAGCAGCCGTTTGTCACGTTCCTAGCAGAGTGTGACCACGCACAGAGCTGCCATCGGCCTCCACCACCTTCTGCAAACGCAGACGGAGCTTTCAGGCACCCTCCACGCAGCATGTGCAGCTCCCCGGGGCCGCGGTCAGCACCTCGAGTCTCCTTTACACCCATTCATGGCTCCTTCAACACTGGTCGTTGGCTTCACAGCCCAGTGTCAGCTTCTTCCTTTTTGCTCCTCCCTTTTCCTTGTGGGATACAGGGCAGTGGCAGTTCTGCTACTGCAAGCGGGGCGCCTTTGCAAGGCACTCCTGCACCCCACTGAGCAGCGCTTCGCTCAAGGACACCCACAGTGCCCACCCAGCAGGATCCTGCCGTGTCAGGTACCCCATCCCCACAGCAGCTGGAGCCAAACAGGCAAAAGAAAGGGAGAAAACTCCTTACGTGTTGTTAAATACGGAGACAAGACCCTTACGGGTTTTAGTAGTGGCTTTTGCAATAAAATGAAGCTCGAGTTTAAGCATGATTTGGGTGCCAGATTGTGCTAAGAACACTGCATGCCCTGGACCTCGCGGCGCTTGCAAATGGACTGCGGAAAGGGAAAGAGGCTGCCGTGCTGGTCGGTGCTCGGGACGCGACGCGGGGCGCTCCGCGGCCCCGCTGCCTCACTCACACTTGGCGTCCTTCCTCCGCGCCGTCAGCAGGAAGTCCTTGATCTCCTCGATCTTGCGGGGCTGCGGGCAGAGGGGGAGCTCAGCGCGCGGGGGCCTCGTCCCCATCCCACCCTGCATCCCCATAGCGGCCTCTGGGGGGGCTCTGAGGACCCCCAAGCCCACCTGCCCCACCCCGCTGCACCCCAAGGGAGGCAAGACCCGGGGAGTCCCAGGAACCCGACACGGGGGGCGCCCGAGGCCTCGTTAGGGCTGATGCAGGGCCGGAAAAAGACCCCCCCCCCCCAACCAATGCCCAGGAAAGGGGATCCAAAGGATCTAAGGAAGAAGGGGACCCCGCTACCTTCCTGCCGCCCCCCCCCCCTCCTCCCCCCCCCCCCCCCCGATCCAAAGGATCTAAGGAAGAAGGGGACCCCGCTACCTTCCTGCCGCCCCCCCGCCTTGTTCCCCTTCCCCC